TTGCATGCACCTACAAGGATATTTTTTTGCAGCATTTGGCATAGTTGTTATTTTTTTATCTCAATTTTACCTTGAGTGCACGGTCGAAGGAAGTATCATGTCCCAGCAGTATCAAAGGGTGAGGCAGTTGGAGCGACACATGTAGAGGAATGAAGAACGGGAGAGGTAGTACAAGGATTAGGTTCAGGAGATCAGGGAATAATTGGGTCCAAATAGATCTGGACAGGGGAAGAGAATGATGAGATGTGGGTGGTGGGTGATGGGTCTTGCGCAGGACTCTGCCCAGGTTTTGAAATAATGTTTTACAAGCTTGCTACTGAATTCATGTTTCGGGCAAGATTCATGCGAAGACCATATGAAAGATCATGTGAAGACTGTGTGAAAGTTTTTCTGATAGTGTAGCTCAGATAGTCCGAGCCTCTGAGATGCAGTTTCAATTGGTGGTTTGCGTGTGTCATTTTTTTGCACATTGTTGCTTCGTTGCACCAGAAGGGCAGAATCAAGACTATAATGTTCATGTTTTGGGTGGAACTTTGTAGTTTGTTAACATGTTAGTTAGATGTAAAGTGACTGCACAAATTAATGCCATTCTGCCCTCCTATGATTACAACTGAATCCCATTTGGTGAGTTTTTGTATGGGTGTCCAACCAAGTCACTGGTGAATGCCGGAGCAGTGCCCCAACAAATTGGCCAGGGACTGCATGCAATCTTCCCTACTTCTTTCTGGTCTAACCTTTCCCTTTCTGCACACACTTACACGCACTGGACTACAACATGTGTTTGGAGACCAGTTTGAGGCATAGAGGTTCTTGCTGCTGGGAGAGATACTTGAAAAGGGAAAATGCCCCCTGCAAGCCTAACGTGTACATTGGTGCTGGATGCCGCTGTTAGAGGGGGAGGATCACCACCACCTCCCACGATAAAACATTCACTACACTATTGAAAATAATGACCATAACAGTTGATGTGCTCAGAAACTTCAATGAATTAAACTCAAATTTATTTATTTTGTATCATCCCAAAACAGTAAAAACCTGCAAGTAACATGGGACAGCGATAATTTGCACATGTTGGACATCAGCAGAAAAATCATATTACTGACACTAGACTCGCAAATAAAAGTATGTCTAAAGGTTAAAAAGGGAAAAAGGCTTTGGTTTGAAGTAACATTTTGCTAAGTTGAATATTAGTCAATGCAATAACCTATAAAACAATAGTTATTATGTTTGCAATGCAATATGCATTGCAATATTGTGAGTTGCAACTTCACGCATGTACCTTCAGATGTTGGAATATGTTAAAACATACCTTATCAATTAGAACCTAAAAATATTTCTTCTTACACACTTCACGCTTTTTACAAGTCTAAATAAGCAGAACAGATTTGAAAAGGCACTTGATTTTTATCTTATTTTGGACAAGGCAATTGTAAAATTTGCGTGAAATTTCTGACGTTTGCTCTGATTTTAATAATAGCAATTTGTTCACTCTTAACTAACATGTGTAATAATTATGAAATTATTGTAACTAACACAGTTATTTGATATATTTATGAACTTCTTCAGAAACAGTGGCAGTGAATAAAATCATGGGATATTCACTGAAGTATCAGAGGAACATTGAGCTCTATACTCATTTCAAGCAAATATGATATAATTCAATAAAACATAGAAGATTTTTTTCAAGAATGAACATTTATTTATCAGTTTGTTTTAGTTCACAATATTATTACTCTATATGGTATTTATAGGACTTGTGTATGTATATATATTTGTGTATGTATATGTATATATATATATATATAGTGTTTCTCGTACAAAACTGTACAAAACATTCACATTAATTCATTATTAGAATAAAAGGCCAGCCAATCCAACTGCCTATTGCCTTATATGAACCTGTCCTCAGACAGCCCTGCCCTAGTGCACCCACTGCACATTGCAGGAATAGGAACTGCACCCAGGCCGGCCAGTCCTCCCCACAGAGCCAATACTGGACGGAGTGTCCCTTGCACAGACACACAGCACAACACAGACGTCTGGCCCAAAGGCCGTCACGTAATTCTCTCCACCCACGACTAGAAGGAAAGCCCACTCGCATCCAAAGGCAGACACAATCGAGCACAGAGGCCGGGCTGGTTGAGGCCTTGAGAGAAAGCTGAGTGTCCAGATGCCAAAGGGCAACTTTCTTCTCCGCTCTTTGCTATGTCCAGAAGACAAGGACCCTGTACATTGTCTTAGAAGTGCTTCCTTGTTGAAAACATCTCAAGAGTCATTTTCAAAAACAAAATGGGATAATATCAAAGATGGTCCAGTTCTTCAAAACACAAATTATATTATTTATTGTATTTATGGGCAAGAAGCTTCAAGAAACTTATATTAAACTATAAGAAATAAAATGGATTTAGAAAATATAATACTTGGTAAAGGTAACACTGAACTCTTCAATACAAAAGTTATATTTGCTTCTCAAATACTTTGCATCACATTTGTAATTGTTGCAATGATCTTTTTTCCCTCCACTTTTTAATACAAGGCCACAAAGGCATGTTTAAAATGCAAGCTAAAGTTAGAAATATTTTACAGAACAATTTTGAGATCCATTTAGACAGAATGAAAGGCCCATCTATATTCAAATGCATTTAGAATCATTTTAAAAAACTTTATCAGTGATATTTGTTGATACTTTTAATTGATTTTTCAAATAATTTTTCCGTGTTATAATTTCTCCAAGTAATCTAATGTTCATTGTTACTTTTCCCAAGAAATTTACTTTGTAATTAATAAATGAAATGAAAAAAAGTGCTACACAGTGAGCCACTTAGTATCCCAATAATTATCTAAAATCAAGAGGAACTGCAATGAATGTACAGGACCCTTAAAGAAATTAAATATTGGCAATAGCTTTTTATGAAATCTATGAATAATGTGAAGACATGGTCTTAAAAGAATTTTGTTACTACACTCAATAAATTTAGCAACTATGTTGCTTGTTACAAATCAGTTTTGCATGAATAGCTCATTATCAGTTTCATTATATCTGAAAAGATCTTTCATAAAATGAGAAGTATTATTGAAGAGTACCAGGATGGGCTGTCATGCAGGATTGTGGATACTACATGAAGATAACACTACATTCCTGAGCAAATATTTTTCTCACCTTCAAAATGATTGTTTGAAATTACTAAAATTGCATCAGTCCGATAACTCTCACAAGGAAAACAACAGTAGTCAATGCCAATTGTATTCGATGTGTAGAAAATTATCTTCCTTCTCTATTATGGTGACTCTCATTAATCGTAATTCATATTGTAAAGATTTCAGCAGAAGTACAGGGTTGAGTGTTTACAACAAGATGGGTGGTGAGAAAAAATAAGTACACATGTCTGGTGTTCTGAACACTCAGATGGGCTAGGACACAACTTGAGTGGAGATGGTCTGGTGACCCTCTGGGATGGGGTCAGGCTGGACGTGACATGGCCACTGGTGCTGCTGCCTAGGCAGAGATTGGATGCAGAGAAGTGGTTCATTTACTTGCAGCAAAGCTCTTTCTCACTTCACAGGTTAAAAGTATTCCAGGCAACTGTTATGACTGAGAACACTCTGCTAGTTTCCGTACTTGAGTTTAATATCAGCCTTTTGTTGTCTCTGTATTCATGATTTATTCAAATTATCTATACTCTTGACTGATATCAGGGATATGTTTGCTTTGGTCAAAAACAATATTACGGACAAGGAACCACTGCTCTAAGAAGGGTATGAAGCAGCTGCTTATGACTATCACTCTTGGCCCTTTCAGCAGCACCAAGAACTATGATACTCAAATCACCTTGCACATCTGCTTCTCATGCATTCCATCATGCAAACATCATTTACACTGGCACTGAAATGGATAAAACTCTGTCTGCAATATTGTGCTCAACAGAAACTCAATAAAACATATTAAAACAGTTAAAAATGCAGATATACAGAACATATATTCAGTCCTAGTGGAACTGACAAAATGGCACAAATTTTCATGGCATGCCTTCGCACAGCAAGACTTGCCTGATGGTTCAAAACCGTTTCAATATATATCGAAGGCCAATTAACAATTTCAACAAACAAAACATACTGTTTTTGCAGCGAGGCATTCCACTCAGCACACGAGATGGCAACAATTTTCATTTTCAGGAAAATTATTAATTGAACACAATAAAATCACAATTTAAAACATCTTCACACTGCAGAATTTTGAAGCTAAAAACTATGTACAAAAAAGGTCAGAAATATCCCTTATGTAAAGAAGGGGACCTTGGGTTAATTTTTTCAGATTATCTCTCATGATCAGTCTCGATATTAGTTCAATAAAACTGACACATGACAGAAATTTAATGCCACAGTTTTGTTTGATATTATGTTAAAATTATTGGGTGAACAAGAAAACACAGGAATCAAATCTTTTTAACTTGTCCCAGCTTCCTCTCTGAAATGTAAAATCTACAAGGAATGAGTAAGGTATCTGCTACTCATTGAGATATTTTTTTTTATTACAAGCTAGTATGCTGTCTTCACATAGAAATCACAGCCCATTAGCAGGACCTCAAACTACATACAAAGCTTGGGACACTGGTCCATTAAATATTTTCAGAGGTAGAAAACTTTTCTGTCCCTCCAGAATTTGTCTACAAGGAATTAGGAAGACCTTATTTGTGTTACAATGACAAATGTAGGATAAAACATACAGTTAGAGAAAAAGTGAGTCTAATAATTATTTGTCCTTCCTGATTGCAAATTCTGTCAAACAATTAGGTCTAAAAGCTGTAGCAGATTCCTTTTTCTTTACCAACTCAAAACTATCTCACAACCAATTCAGAAGTACAATTATCAGTACACAGATGTACATTTATATATCCCCTGTGCTACTCTTATAACAAAAAATACTTATATAAAACATCATTGTAAACTAAACTCTAAGTCAAAGCGGATGCTAGGACGCATGGATATCATTTTGTTAGAAATTAAGAAGACTCGCACTCGCACTGCACATGAGCAACGGCAGGCGTTACGTGTGTGTGTGTGTGTGTGTGTGTGTGTGTGTGTGGTGTATATATGTATGTATGTGATATATATTATATATATATATATATAATATATATAATATATATATATATATATATATATATATAATATGGTGTAGTCAATCGGCAAGTCAGGAAAGGAGCAAAGAAGAGCGAGAACGGAACAGGAATATCATGCAATGGCCGCACGCTGAGTGGCTCACCGAATCGCTGCGTGCACCGCGTGGGCGAGCCCTTTTTAGGGGTCGCTGGCGTCCCACTGACCGCTTCGCGCACCCACGGGAATGCCGGCCAAAAGGAGCGGTAATCGACGGTGGCGGGGGCGCCGACGATGGCGGTGGCGGCGGTTTTGCGAGAAGCCTGTGCCTACGCCCTGTTGTTGGAAGTCAGTCGTGTTTGCCGCCCCCGCGCCCTCGAGGTCATCTGGTGCGAGGGTCGGGCTGCGCGGGGACGGCGGCGGCGGCGAGGTGGCCGGGCCCGCGGCGGCGGCCTGCGGCTACTAGCTGCCCACGAGCTCTATCTGGTGGTACTTGCGCCGGAGGTTAGACACTGGGTCCTTGAAAAGAACCGGATCAAGCCGCAGGTTGGAGCGCAGCAGCGGCATGTAACCGAAGACGGCCGCGAAAGTGTTGAGGCACGTCTGCCGCTGGATGAAGTGGTCTGGGTCGTTCCATGGTGACCTGAGGGCAGAGACGACGATGGTCAGGGAGGATATGTGTACCTTGGTGTTCCAGAAATACCGTATGAAGTTCAGTCGCCCAGAAGGGCAAAACATTTTTATCTTGTTTTGCATCATCGAAGGGGAAGTGAATTCGGCAGTAACATGTACAGTGGCGGCCGGTACGGAATTTTATTGGCGGTGCCAGTTAGTGATGCGACATCGATGACAAAACATGGATGTTACCAATTATAGATGTCCAAAATTAAAAAAATGATCAAAATCATTTTGTTTTCGAACATCGGTGCTATGTTTAAAAAACTGGTTTCTTAATCTAAAATGTGTGGGCAACAAAATTCAATTTTAGTGTCCGTGTTTATTAAGCTATAATGAACATTAAACAGAAAACAAACTAAAAATACTCATCCTGAAAGCCTTCGTGCCCCACAGTAATCTCAAGTGGCCACAGCTTCCCGAGTTCGCTGCAGAAGGGAACGGGAAGGAGAGGGGAAGCCTTCCACCCACGGAGGACACCACCTCTCCATGTGCGAAATACCAGAGATTCGGGGTCATCCTCGGAGAGAGATGAATGCTGAATGAAGATACAGCCACTAGTGCACTCGGTAGAACAGAACGTGAACTACTGAGCCAGTTCGATTTTGGCACAGTCTCAGCCAGAAGAGGCTCATACGATCCAATATAGTGTTCTTTATACGGTGTTAAATGGGCACAGATGGTGATAATCCGTAGGTGGCTCAGAGATTTAGGGGGAGGCAGACAGTACTAAGCCCTGTGTGTTTGAAAAGAATATTGATGAAGGATCAAAGGACTAAGCGCTCGTTTAAATTAATTATTATTAAGAAAAATATTTTGAAAAAAAACGATATTTTACACACACATTTGTGGTGAAACATTTCGTTTCCTTCATTTTTGTTGGTGGTGCCATGGCACATAAGCACTACCTTACAAGCCGCCACTGAACATGTATTCAAAAATAGAGACTAGAGCAACTACCAGATAACGAAAAACATAAATACCACTTTTGCTACTTGTAACTACCGAACAGAAATTGAAGCGAACGAGTCATCCTGTCAAATAGTGAAGAACAGTTTCAATTGCAATAATTTGCCATTACAATAATTTGCAATCACAATTAATTTCTGTCAATATGACCGAGTGAATTTGGAACCTTGACAGGTAAGGCTCGTATAATAATTGCAAATAAAAAATCAATGACGTACTTCCGTATCACAAAGAAAGCATTAAATCGGTCTTATCCATTAAAGCAACGAGTGGACGCCGACATTGCGAGATCGGCGAATGTAAACAGATAACGAGTAGCATTCTGTTTCTTAGTTTAAAAACGACAGCGCGTTTTAATTAATTAAAAAATACTTGAAAATAAAATGTGTTAGTATATATTGGTTAGTATACATTGGACATACTAGAGGATGTTTTATGTTAATCTCCTAGGCCGGAGCCTTGTCGCAGCAACATTGCACTCGCAGAGTGAAGAGTCACTGCGTTTTGAAAGTTTGAGGTTAGAAATACGACTTCATTTCGCTCTCAGGCCCGTGTTGTCGCCGTACAATGGCAACGTCCTATCTCGTAACGTTAAAACAAGAGAAGCCACAATCTCACGCTCCTTGCCATCTTACGACACTATAGATTTGTTCGCTGTCAATATTATATAGGTTATTTATGAGCTTCTTTCTTTATTTAATCAATATGCGTTGGGCTTTTGCAAGTGCTGAATTATTTACATCACAGTGAATATTCGCAATGTGTTTGAAAGAACCATTTTTAAATTTGTGATACAATAACAAAAGAAATTGGAATTTCAATTTAGTTATTACCTTTTCGTGCTCTGCGTTCATGACATTGATAATTTAGTTATTGCGATTGCTTGCGATTGGTTGATGCTTCGCAGGCTGGCCTGGTTGGCTGTCGCCAACTCGAGAAAGTTATCTATTGACTCCGGCCGTTAAAGCATACAATGCTTTGTTAAGATTGAAACAACTGAGCGGGAAAAGTAGTAAGCTTGTCAATGACGGTGTAGTTTGTGTGTTTTTGTAGTTTTACACAAGCTCTAATGCATTATTTTTCGTTCGGACTTAATTTAAGTAGTAAGTAATTTCCAATCCGAGATTTCATAAAAACATAGATTAACGCTATTAGATGGGAGCAATAGCCATCAATATCTAATTCGTATATTTTCTCACTACATTTGTCTAGAATTTACGGAATTAACAGGCCAAAAAAACAAGTATCTGAGGAGCTGTTCCAAACATTTTTTTCAAACCATCTAACACAAATGCAGAGACAATGGAAGACGCGTGGCTTTAGAAAGGTTAATTCAATTAAATACTTTCTTTCAAATATAATTTTGACTTAAACTTTCATTATGGTAAAGAAGTTGGACAAAATAATCAAGTGGAGTTTATTTCAATGCTATATATACCTTCCAAATTCAATGTATCTCTAACAAAATGCTGCAATTCACTTTGCGGTCAACGTATTTCTATCTCAATCAGATTCTCATCGTTTCCTTTGCCCATTGAGCTAACGTCGAGATGATCCCTTACCTTTGCTTTTGAATTTTTAAATGTGGCTTTTATCATCGTCATGATTTTATCATTGACTGAGACGAGTTGTTTTTGACATTAAATGAAAAAAAATAGCATTTAAAAAAGCTTGACATCAATTGTTTAATAATTAATTAATTTTATTTTCCATTCAGTATTTCACATTTTCTGACCAGTATGTATTTTAGACCTCTTCGTCTATATATTGAGGACCATTGACGTATTGCAATAAATGCTTTTGAACGAAATTGTTGTGACATAATACAGAGCTCAATAGTAAAAAACAATCGGTCACTGCCAGTCTAGTATTCTGTCTGCGGTTTTTGCTCACCATGTTTTACGGAAGTGAGTCGATTCTCTCTCGCTCGTTACGATAAGGGAGATAGGTCTATTATATTATCATCTGACGGGAAACAGTGAAATAGGTCCATTCCTAATTCTTTTGTATCCTCAATTATAAAAGATGGAGCAAAAAATTGATAAAGATATTTTGAATAAGCAGCGTCTTCAATGTCTGCCTTTACTTTCCCATATTTCGCTAAGAATTGATGAGTTGTAATTTTTAAACAACAGAACACGTTTTACTTTTAAGTATAATTGTGAGTAAAAAAATGAGACGTTGAATGTTGGGATCTCTTCGGACCTTGATTTCAGTTTTTAGGGCGGTATCAGGCTAAACGCAGTTAAACACAATTGTAAATTGTGTTTACAATGAAACTGCACTTATTATCAATTGATAATATATTTATATATTTAAACTATGAGGTGTTTCATGACAAATGAAAATTACAGATCTTAATGAGTAAATTGTTGTGTGATTTCTAGTGTAAATTACTTTATTTAAAAAAATAGAATTGAGATGTTTGGAATCTCATACGAACAGTAACTCCATATTTCTACTACATCAATCACAAAGTCTGTAAACATTCGTACTTGAAACACCTAATCCCGGTAACACTAACTTCCACCAGCCGGTTCTACTCGTCCTCTTAAGTCCAACACTGACACTCGCATTCCAACAAAGACATGCGTTTCACGGCGTGTTCTGGAGACGCCTAGAAGACATCTAGAACCGTTCAAGTGCGAAGCGTATGTCCCAGGCCACTTATCCTAGGTTACCTCTGCCAGGGCACTAACTCTCTGAGGTACCTCACGCCGCCCGGCGGCTGCTCCTTGTACTGCTTGCGCTGCGTCACTTTAATGGGCGGCCGCCGAGTCACGTGAGCTACCAGGAAGTTCATGAGGATGTCCTCGCAGTTCTGCGACTGCTCCACTGTCTTGTGCAGCAGCGGGCTGAGCCAGTGCGTGTACAAGTGGTTGTAGTAGCGGTGATAAAAAGCGGCGCCAGTCAGCACGATGGAGTAGTCGTTGGTCCACTTGGAAGTGTATCCCCACGCGCCCTGCAAAAGGAAAATGTGCTTAAAATATATTATAAAACTAGATTTTTATATAATAATATTACAATCCAAATACAGTACATATTTGTAACTGTAGAAAAGGTACATTTTTTGTAAAGGAAGTTTCGACGCAAGTGCATAAATATTACGAATGTATTGTGAGTTGGGTTAACTGTTGAAACTGGCGTTGTAAGTTTATTTTCCTGTTAATAGTTTAATGTCTTTATTAGGATAATGTCTTTTCTCATAGCGATGACCAATCCCGAAAATAAAAATCGTAGCAAGCAAGAATGAGAAACTATCAATCCAGTATGACACCTT